GGGGGGGGGTGAGCATATATATATGTATATATATATATATATGATTCCCATATAATTCGTGCGGCTTGAGGGCTAGGGTTGAAGAGCTACAAAGTTAAACACCAGATCAGCTTCAGTGAGGTTTTGATGAGAGATTCAAGGTTTACAGCCCCCCTTAAGTGCATAGAATGTGTGGAGTATATGGGGATCTTATTATAATATACCAAAAGCCATATTCTATCTACCTAAGGGGGGCTATAGGTTTAGGTAAGCAGCTAAGGCTTAGCAAGGCTAAATCTCGGACACGTCCAAGTTCATACTGTAATGTGCCTAGGTGGACCTGGGTCATCTCGCAGAGACATTGCTAAAATCGAGCTACAATCACCCCTTTGAACGCGGCACATCTCTAGAAATGATAAGGATAAGCAATGTCCAAAAGTATGGTTTCATGTACCATTTAGTTCCCTAAACCCTAAAAACCATGTAGTTCCCTAAGCCCTAAAAACCATTTAGTTCCCTAAACCCTAAAAAAAACCAAAGGTTTTAAGGCGCCCGGCCTTGCCGTCTCCCCACCCGGCCCTGCACGGCTGCCTGTGTAAGAAGGATGCTACCTAAACCCCAAAAGTATGTAAAATAATAGCCCTAAACCCATAATAATAGCCCTAAAGGCCATTATTTTACCTACTTTTGGGGGTCCAGGTGGTCCTCGTAGGATGCTAATTATCTGGAATGAGCTTAGGGGTTTAGGGTTTAGGGTGTAGGGGTTTAGGGTATTTAGGGTGTAGGGTTTGGGGGAAAAGGGTGGGTTTAGGGTTTTTAGGGTTTTTAGGGTTTTTAGGGTTTAGGGTTTAGGGTTTAGGGTAATGTAGACCCCTAATGAATAAACCACCTCCAATTAACGGGGGTTATAATGGGGAGAAAGGGCCTAAAAAAGAGGGGAGTTATGAATCACAGGTCGACATTATTGTTCCATGTGATTTGTCTGTCTTGGGTGAGGAGGCGATTGGGCTGGTGAGATGCAGTCCTGTTTCTAATGCCCCCGCTGTATGGAGAAATATGATTGACGGTTGCCGATGGAGGCCAGCTTTTTCATACCGGTTCTAAACCGGTGCCTTAAAGAATAGCGGAAGCTTTGCAAGTTCAGGGTGCCTAATCCTGTCAAGCTGTTCAAGACTGAAGTGGGGTATCGCCATTCCCAACTGAGCCCAAGA